TTCTTATGAAAAGTTTTGGAGCAGTCAACTTTTCATAAGAATCGTTTGCAACGCAACGTATGTGAGTTCATTCAACAAAAAGTCACTAAATCGCGGTTTCCTGTCAAATAGTGGAAAATCGACGTATCTCATGAAAATTCAATACGTCGGTTTCCTGTCCAAAACTGTTTTGCGACGATTTTAGTTTACGTTACGTCGATTTCACAACGCACCAGTCGTAATCGGTTTCCTGTCAAATCGCATTTTCTTACGATAAAACGACGTAATCGTAAGTAAATCTGCCTTCTTACGTCGACAGGAAACCAGGCTTTATGTATATTGACATCTAACACAGAGGCACAACGTCAAAATGGGATTTGTGTGCATGAGGCCTGTCGACAGGATTATTGATGGGGAGGGGCCGTCTAGAGCCCTCGGTGAGGTCTAGCAAAATAGCGTGTCGGGAGCCTTTATTTAATCGGTTTGTGAAACCCATAATTCTAGAAAATTTAACTGAAGTGCAATGCATAGCATTTTGCAATAATTGTGAAAGACTTTTGTTGAAATAACAGATTATAAAAAGTGCATTCGCACACTCTGACCTTAGCGTGTCAAACTGTATGAGGTTGGATTGATGCACTAGAGGCAGAAGAATAAGATCGTATAATACATACTCCAAGTATGGAAATGCACGCCATCGTGTCGGGATTCAATATTTCGACATTAATTATGTCATCATCAGGAATGAAAAATTATCCATATTTGCAAGCTTATATGCACAAGTACCAAGAGTGTTCGACCAATCAAAACATTACCCCTAGTAGGTGACATAGCTATGAATAAACTGAAGATCAAAGCATCCTTACCCTACTGATCAAACTTACCTACAAAATCAAAGAAAGCGCATTCGAAGCCTCTTTCAGCCCATTGTTAAGCAATGGGTGTAGCCTACGTATTAGCAGGTAACAGTAAAATTACTCTTCCCTGGTATTAGCAAACGCTTCTTTAAACAGTAGTATAGACCAGTTGGAAATCGGAATAAAGCCACCACTGTCCAAAGCCACCCAACAATGGATTATACCATTGTAAGGTAGGGGTGGACAATGGGGTGTTTGTCTTGATGCTGGTCTACAATAGGTTTCTGCTGCAGTGCTAGGAGTGTCTTTGTATCAGCTTTTGTGTATTATGAATTAGAAACTGGGTGTAGTCTACATAGGCATAAACATCATCAGCTTCTCCTAATGATGCAATTGAGTGGGGGTTTTTTTTTAAATTTTTATATGATAATATTGATTTATGTTTTTATACATACTTTCATTACTATTGATATACTATATTAATATTAAATAAATAATTAAATAATAATTAAATAGATACTTGTCAATGGTAATAAAGAAGAAAGGAAAATAATATTAATACTACTGAAAAAAGAAGAATAAAAGTTTTAAAAAAAATACATTTCCACTTAATTGCATAATTTAGAGAAGCTATGATGTTTATGCCTGTGTAAGGGAAATTAATATTACGGTACACTGTAAAAAGAATAAAATGTTGACTGTAAAAAAAAAAAAACATTTCCTTCTAGAAACCACTCAATTGCATCATTGGGAGAAGCTGATGATGTTTATGCCTATGTAGACTACACCCAGTTTCTAATTCATAATACACAAAAGCTGATACAAAGACACTTCTAGCACTGCAGCAGAACCTATTGCCAGCATCAAGACAAACACCCCATTGTCCACCCCTACCTTACAAAGGTATAATCCATTGTTGGGTGGCTTTGGACAGGGGTGGCTTTATTCCTACATTCATCCATTCAGACCAGTTTGGCGAACTGTCAATAATGTTAGTATTAGAAAATATTAAATCTAATTTATTACTTACATTACAAGCTACATTATCATTTTCAAGTATACCTTGTAAACCTAAAACATATTGGAATGCCTCACAATTTTGTATATGATCATTTATAACACTATCAGATCGTGAAGAATGTTCTTTAAGATAGTTATTAAGCATCTATCTGTCTTTCCAATATAATCACTATTACAATCTGGACATTTAAAATGATAAACAACAGAGCTCCTATATTCCTTAGGGGTTTGATCTTTAGTAGATATAAAGTGAGGCATGTCGATGGGCTTGCACACATATAAAGAATCACATATAGATAGTGTCTTACATATGGAAACTTTTTTAAATAAAACAGCCAGTTGGAAGTCTTCAGACATAATTCTAATACAAAACGTTGAAAAGCCTTAGTGATCGCATTGATATCAAACGTTATGAAATGTCCAGAAAGTTGTATAATAATAATAATAATAATAGGCCTAATATTAATAATAATAATAATAATATTAATAGTAATAATAATAATAATAATAATAATAATAATAGTTCATTCTTATTTAAGGAAGCACTCAATGCGCTGTACATAAAAACCAGAATCAGTATATAATGTTAAATTAATGAAAAAATTGATGGAAAAGAAAGGACTTTTGCTTGGTCTAAAAACAGTTTAAAGAGTTGGAGCTCCCACAGCAAAAGCTCTCCCGCCATAGGTGGATGTTCTAGTCTTGAAAACTACAAGCTGACATTGGGCACTTCACCACATATACGAACACAGCCTGGGTTATTAAATTTTGTTAAATCAACTTTCTTTGCTTTTCCAGTGCATTAAACACTATCATCCCTTATTTACTAATTAACAGATTCTCTAAACCAGACAACCAGGATTATATCATTTATTCATAATTTTCTAACTGGAAGAGCACAAAGAGTTAAATGCAATGGTGTATCCTCTGATGTTAAATGCCCTAATTTAGGAGGACCAAGGATGTGTAATATCTCTTTACTTATTCTCATAATATCTTTCATATTTTCTAATCCCAATTGCAAAATTAGGTATGCGGATGATACTGTGATTAGTGGTTTTATGCCTATTGATGATCATGGGTTCTTCGGGGGAAATAACTACTGTAGATTTACATATTATGCATTAATTAACATCTAAAACTTTATGTAAATAACACCAAAGAAGTCATTTATAAGAAATTAAACGTCACAGCGTATAAATAATGGTGATAGATCTCATGAATTTGCATACTCGCTTCTTTCAATCTCGCATCATGCAACAGTGTGTATAGATCTGTTTTATTAGACATTAGGTAAATCAAACCCTAGTACGATTATAGCACAAAGGCATTTGTATTGCTCACCTTAATGTTAGATCCCTGTTTCATAAATCCGACGAACTTGCTGTTTGCAGCAGGAGTAGTATCGTCAACCAACCGACACCACTATTTTTGTTATCGTTAATTCTTATGCCTCCATTACCAGTATCAATGTCACATTTCATGAAATCATTTGTCTCGGTGACTTCAACCATGGACCATATAATGCCTCCATGCTTCAACTGAAAATCTCTTGATGATGGAAACCAGCTATGACCAAAGCTAAACCAAATCGCCAGATGATATGGTTTATCTCATCTTAATAATAAGTCAATGAGGTCATACCAGTGTAGACCAGATTTTTGTAAACCAAGCTGAGTTTACTGGGATTGAATCTAGCGAAGATTGTGCACTTGTTCGAAAGGCTCAATGGGCTCATGGAACACCTTTAAGAAAGTTGATGCT